GAAGTATTAACTGGCAGGAGAGTAACAGCCCAGCCCAAGGGATAAAGTCAAAGTTTCCCCACTTCCCCAGCTTCCTCCCTCCAACTACCCCTCCCTGAAGGGCTCAAAAGAGCCCTGTTTCCAGAGTGAGAGGGGCTTCCCCACAGGGTCAGGCTGCAAAGCAGCTGGGGTAGGAGATACCTGAAGGGGTGTCATGGGAAAGATCCTGGACATGTGTCATGTAGACTTGTGTTGTGAGGCCATAAGGAGCAGAACGAGGCCCCACACATGAGATGTGCTGGAAGACGCACATTGCCTCAATATTAAGAACCTTCTGAGCACCAGGGCTGAATTGAGATGGTTTGGGTTGTCTTATGAGGTGATGAGCACCCTGGCTTTCAGGACATGCAAGCTCAGACTGTTCAGTCATTCGCCTACGGTTTATAGGAGATTCAAGCACCAGAGTACCTGGAGATTCTGTGTTGTGGTGCCCATCCCACTAGCCCAGGGGCAAAGTCTTTCCCAGGGGCCTTGCAGAGAAGCTCATTCGCTCTAGGCAATGTCTTCCAGGCTCCAGGCCCTCTGCTCCCCACTCCTTTTGACTCCTCCTTCTGGGAGTCTTCTGAGAAGGCTTCCTAAAATCTCAGCCCTATCCCTGTCCTAGCCTCAATATAGTCAGAGGCCGTAGAGCTGATGGCTACCAATCTCCCAAAAGGACGCGGATAAGAAAGCAATGAGAAATGCAGAACTTGCGCCTGCAGGAGAATGTCTCAAGCAAGAAGGGGTGTGAGGCATGGGCACCAAGACAAGAGGGAGGTCTGAGCTGTTTAAAGGCAGTTCAGTCAAGAATAGCTATGAGGCCGGGCTCAGTGGCTCAGCCTATAATCCCAGCACTTTGGGAGGCTGAGGCAAGTGGATTGCCTGAGCCTACGGGTTCGAGACCAGCCTGGGCAACTTGGCAAGACCTCATCTCTACAGTAAAATAAAAAATAGCCGGGCGTGGTAGCGCACATCTGTAGTTCCGGCTACTCAGAAGGTTGAGACAGAAGGATCACCTGAGCCCAGCAAGTCGAGGCTGCGGTGGCCGTGAGCATTCATGCCACTTCTCTCTCCAGCCTGGGTGAAGGAGAGAGACTCCTACTCAAAAAAAAAGAATAGCTATGATATTGGAAATGAGGACCATGCAGGAAAACTTGACATGATTCTCCTGGACATATCTCAGAGAATGGTAGGGAGGTGGGTCACCATGGGAACAGCCTAGGCCAGGAAGAGACCTCTGGTTTGGAGCGAGCTATCTGCCTCTCCACAGTCTCCCCTCCCCCGCCACCGGTTCCCACTCCTCGCAAAAGAAGCAGTTAGAAGGGTTGAGAGTGAGAAAACAGAAGGAAGAATTCCCTGTCCCTGAGAGTCCATGGCCCCCGTACCCAGAATCTTGTCTGAGGCTCCAGTGTCTCCCTCCACCCTCACCGAAACCGCCGCCACTTTTCCTCACCCCAAAAGCCCGGCCTGTCTTTGAACTCTCTTGGCCCCTTTCATCCCAGCCTAATCAAAGTGCTTTTACTGAGACCCAGTAATGCTCAGCTGTGTCCCAAGTTACAGATGGGGATGCCGAGCCTGTTGGGGGTAGTGGAGGACAACCCAGCACCCCACTGAGTCAGGCGTGGCTCAGCCCCCAGGGCAGGCCACTGTGTCACACCCAGCTGGAGCTGCTTCCACAGCAGGTGCTAAGGTACTGAGGCTGCCTCTGAGCCACAGCAGAGCGTGGTGTGGGCAGCAGGCACATGTGGGCAGGTAGGGCACAGAGCCCCGCCAGGAGCCGGGGGACCTGCCACGAGCCCAGGAAACAGCTGCCTGCAGATCTGACTCCATGCTCCGAGGGGGGTCCAAGCTCTGGGTTTCCAGGCTGAACCAGTCCAGCCTGATGCTGCAAGGAAGGGCTAGAAGACCCCAGGACAGAAGACAGGGTGCTGGGAAGTCCTCAGGGAGGTAATATGTGCCTTTATAGATACAATAATATAAAATGAGTTTTAAAGGAGTCAGATATCCATACAACAAAGTCAATCATCGCTTGGGCACCTTAAAAAAAAAAATCTAGTATCAACAAAGACAATGTACCAAACTGTTCTTCTTACTTATCTCTGGCAGCCTCCCACACCCCCCTCGGCTGACTTGGTGGCTTGTGGGCTGCACAGAGCTCATTTTCCCCTCTGCGCATGGGGAAGGAGAAGCCAAAGCCTCATTAGAAATACCATCCCCTTGAACGTCCAACCTCTGGCAGCAAGACAGCCTGGGGGCCCACTAGAGTCCCCAGAAGACCTGTTTCTCTTTTTTTTTTTTTTTTTTGTCTCCAGCCCAGACCCACTCTTCTGCTGGCTCTGTCACCATGTCATGCAGCTGGGCCTCACCAGGCCACACTTACAGCCAGGGGCTTCCTCTCTGTGACCAGTCTCACTGCCATTCCTGAGTGAGAAGGCTAGAGGTTTATAAAAGATGCCCAGGTGTGGCTGCCTGGCCTCAGATCCCAACTGCCTGCCTGGCTCTGAGTGTCCCACTTCTAGGTTCCTGCTGGTTCAGACTAGTTCTCAAGTCTGTGAAAGCCTGGGTGGGGCTTCTCAGGAATCCTGAGAGAAGAAATCGAAGCTCTCTTCCACTTCATAGGCCAATTCTGAGGTGAATTCCTGGTCAGAGTGGAAGCAGCAACCCTGGGGGCAGAACTCAATCCAAGCCACCTTTGCTTGCTCAGAAGTGGCTATATTCTCCCTTCTCTGAAGCCAGACCTTTATTCATGTCATCTATAACTGCCCTGTGTCCAGGCCCTGTCAAGACCATTTCATGTTTTAGGCCTTGGGATCTTCCAGGCCCCAAAGGCCTGCACTCTCACCAGCAGTAGCTCTGGATAAATGCCAGCCTTACTTCCGCCCTGTGGACTCGGCCCATTTTTGTCTACATGCCTTGTGAAGTTAGCAGTGGGAATGGAACCCACTTTCTCCTTGACCTTTTCTCCACAGGGGCCCATTCTTCCCAGCCTGGAGATTTATGACTTAGGTGTGAGACCAGGTAAATGCCAGGTACCCAGGCTCTTTCTGGCTTTCCTGGGAAGGAGGGTCTCCTGAATGTTCCTTGGTCCCTGTGTGTATCACCTGAACAATAGGTGATGCTCAGAGAGCACTGAAGCTAGTGTGCCACTTGCATAAGGGTGCCAGCATTCCCAGTGGCACTGCCATGGCCGCTCTCCCATCCTAGGCTGCAAACCACGGCAAGATGCCTAGGGAGGAGGATCGACTGCCCTAGGTAGGAGGGTTGCAGCTGAGAGTGCTGAGCAGATAAGGTGAGAAAGTCTCTTCCCTGGAATAGCTGGTAGGGCTGCCCTCCTGGTGGGTGACAGTCATCCCTGGTGCGGAAGGTGGAGAGGGCACCTGGGGAAGCCACAGTTGTCCTGAGGAAGACCAAGCACAGGAAACAGCTTGCCGACTCTCCCTGGGCCCTGTGAAAAGAGGTCTCTTGCCAGAGGCCCTTGTAACCTGGCGTTGTGAACACCCAGGACGCGCCCAGCAGCTGTCCTCTGCCTTCCCTAGCGCAGGGCCATCGAGAGACAAGACTGGGCTCTGGACTAGAGAAGTGGAACAAACCCTTGGGCATGTTAGGGGAAACAGGGAACACCCTAGAGATGGCGGCTGAGAGGAAGCCCTTCCCCACAGGCATACAAAAGCAGGGAGTGGCTACAGCACTGGAAGCTGCCATCCCAGCCCCATATGGGAGCCTGAGAACCAGGGTCCTTCCCCAAAGGCACAAGAAATGTGGTGGAGAGTGGCAGAGGGCAAAAAGGGCAGACTGACCCAAATGAGAGGCTTCTAGGAGGGTACAGCCAGGTCCAGCGTGTTCATTGCGTGCCTAGATCGTACCTGGCAGGCAGTATTTGAATAAGTGAGTGGATGAATAAAGCGTAGAACCCAGGCTGGACTCGGTGGCTCAGCCTGTCTTCCCAGCACTCTGGGAGGCCGAGGTGAGTGGATTGCCTGAGCCCGTGGGTTTGAGACCCGCCTGGGCAACTTGGCGAGACCTCATCTCTACAATAAATCAAAAAATTAGCCGGGCGTGGTAGTGCACGTCTGTAGTTCCGGCTACTTAGAAGGCTGAGGCGGAAGGATCGCCGGAGCCCAGCGGGTCAAGGCTACAGCGGCCGGAGCGTGCCGCTGCACCCCAGTCTGGGTGACAGAGTGAGACTTCAACTCAAAAGAAAGAGTAGAACCCACTGAGCCCAAGCAGAGAATAATGGGCCAAGTCCACGGGGTAGAAGCAAGGCTGGCATTTGTCCAGAGCTGCTGCTGGCAAGAATGCTGGTCTCTGGGGCCTGGAAGATCCCAAGGTCTAAAAAGTGAGGAACACTGAGACAGATGGAAATGACTTTGGGGAGCCCCACCTATGGGAGTGAGGTGGCCACATGACAGGGGCAGCTGTGTTTGGGTGAGGGGAGGGAGCTGTCAGGGAGGAGTGTGGGCCCCTGGGCGTGCCTTCAGGGGGATGGGGCAGTGTCTGTGTTGCAGCATTCCCTGGAGTTGAAAGGTCTCTGGCAGGGGAGGGCTGAGCCAGGTGGAGTGAGCCCCAAGTTCAAACGCCGCCCCCTTCACAGATGTGGTCTGAGTCATGGGTGTGAGCCCAGGAAGAGCTCTGCCTCAGCCAGCCCTGGTACCTCCTTCGCCAGTTCCGCCCAGCCCAGCCCTTGCCCCAGCCCAGGTCCGCCCTTGACCCAGCCCCTCCCTGAGAGAGCATCTCCAGCTCTGCCTTAGTGCCCTGAAATGCCTCTGACCTGGACGTGGAAGTCGATATCCCAGAGGATGACAAAAAGCCAGGAGGAGATGCCAGGACATGGGGACCTCCTGGCTTAGGAGGGACGATCATGAGAGAGCATGCCCCCCTCCACCCTGAGCATCACTCTACCCTTGCTTGGGTCCTCCATAACCTATGTCGCCCCACCTTCAGTACCTGCACCAGCCACATTCCCACAAAAAGACAGCAAGCTGTTCCTTAAAGATGCGGAATAGATTTAATCTGTAGCCATGAAATGTCTAGGTGAGCAGCAATCATGGACACCCAGAGACTGGGCAGAATCTGTTCCCTGAAGGCATTCCGAGGGCACAAAGGCGCCCCTCAGTTCACAGAGGCAGCTGGCAGGATGTTAGCTTTGCGCTCTGCTTCGATGCAGTACTTCTCGGGAAGGCCGGTGGCTCTGCCAGGAGATGCAGGGCAGATATAAGGAAAGGTGCTGGGCCAGGGAGGAGCAGGAGGGAGCAGGCATGGAGGGGTTCCCAGGACCTGAGGGCCTGCACTCCCAATCCCATTCTCATGATCCACCCCAAACACATTCGTGCCAAGGCCCCAGCATCCTGCCAAGTAGTTCCTGGAGAGCCAGGAACACCCGTTCCAGAACTTCCTGTGGAGCCCCCTTCAGAGGGTGAACCTCAAGTCAGGAGAAGGACCTCTCCCAGAGCACCTCCGCCACGGCCCTTTCAGCCCTGAACCCACTCTCTCCAGCTACCGGCCATCTCTCTGGAGACAGAAAGAGGAGCAGGGAGAAGAGACTCTGGTGCACCTCAGCTCTTCCAGTTTCTTCCTCTTGATGTCCTCAATGCGCTCCCGCCGCTTCTGGGCCTCCTCCTTGAGGCGCCGGCCCTCCTCGAAGGTGGCGATCCGTCTCTGGACCTGCTTCTGCTGGTTCTCGCGCACCTGGCGCCGGAGCTCGTTGGCGTGCTGCAGACGCCCGGTGGCCTTTCTCTCCTCCTCCAACCGCTCCTTCTCAATCTGCTCTCTCTGAGCCCTGGGGGGCCGGGGGAGAGAAACAAGGCGTGGGATGGGCTCTGTGGGGCTGGCCAAGCTGAGGAGCGGTGCCGGGGGTGCCTCTTGGGCGGGTTCCCCCGCGGGACATGCTTCGGGGACCACGGCCCTTGGGTCTCCAGCAGGGTCAGCCCCAAAGGCTGCCACATCATGACCCTTCCTCCCACTCAGCCAGGACCAGCCTCGCGGGCATGGGACCGTTATGTCGTGTGCATGCCTGTAGGGCCGCAGGCTTGGTTTGATGCTGTCACTCTTTTGAAATTCTTAATCATTTGGTGGGGGTTTTTTGTTTTTTTTGTTTTGTTTTGTTTTGTTTTTTGAGTCCATCATCACTCAGCCTGGAATGCAGTGGCAGGGTCATGGCCACACAGCCTCAACCTGCTGGGCTCAGGTGATCCTCCCGCCTCAGTCTTCCAAGCAACTGGAACTACAGGTGCATGCCACCATGCCCAACTAATTTTGTAGTTGTTGTAGAGACGAGGTCTCGCTATGTTGCTTAAGCTGATCTTGAACTCCTGGGCTCAAGCAATCTTCCCACCTCAGCCTCCCAAAGTGCTGGGCTTGTAAGTCTGAGCCAGTGCACCGGTCCTGAAATTCTTAATTATTATTATTTTTGTTTTGAGTTGGAGTCTCACTCTGTCACACAGGCCGAAGTGCCATGGCACACTCACAGCCACCCCAGCATCGACCTGCCAGGCTCTAGCGATCCTTCCGCCTCAGTCTTCCAAGTAGCTGGAACCACAGGCATATGCCACCGCACACGGTTAATTTTTTATTTGTTGTAGAGACAAGGTCTCGCCAAGTTGCCCAGGCTGGTCTTGAACCCGCAGGTTCAGGCAATCCACTCACCTGGGCCTCCCAAAGTGCTGGGATTACAGGCTGAGCCACTGCGCCCAGCCTCTTAATCCTTTGTTAACAGGGGGCTCCATGTTCTCATTTTCCACTGGGTTTTGCAAACAATGTACAGGCCCTCCACCCAGCATTTCACCCACTGGGAGCTACTGTTCCTACACTTTCCTCGTACAGTGCGGAACTCCTCTCCAGCTCATTCTGAGATAGCTTTATTTTTTTCTTTCTTCCTTCCCATCCTTCTTCCTCCCCTCCCTCCTTCCTTCTCTCACTAACAATAATGATAATATTAACAAAACCAACAAAGGGGATGCTTGAAAAGTAAAAAGAAGTCAGGAATATGACCTCTGCCTTGGTTGCTAGAAGAACAAAGGGGCTCAGCCTAATCTCTGTTCTCTCATTGAGCCAGCTCTTCAAATTCCTCTTAGAAACCTCTTCCACAGGATACTTAATGGACCCTGATGTCAGGAATAAAACCACTAATAGCAACCAGATAGGCTCAGGAAAAAGTCTAGTGAGATGTACTCACATCTTGGAGGAAATGCGGCTATCGGCCATCTTAAGTTAACACCTCCATTTCTTTCTCAACTTCATCAAAAACAAAAGCAAAATGTAACACCATCTTAGGAAAGGATCTCTTACCTGCTGTCCCCTCCAGGGTCACTCACAGCCCAACAAAGGTGCTAAAACACTGCTTCCCTCCTCGTTTCCCTCTAACCTTCTTCCAAGATCCGCTATGCATGGGCTGTCCTCACAACTCCAACAGCTCTTCGCCATACCAACATCTCCTAAGATCCCACACCTTCTGCAGAGCCCACCTGGTGTATCAGAAGAGAACTTCGGCTTTCTTGCCCCTCTGTGTCTAGACACCAAATCCCCGTTGCCCAGATGTGTCTGTGATAGCAGGAAGCCTCTCCTCTTTGCCTGGCCATTGTTCTCCTGTGTGGGGACCAGTTTCCTATCGTCTTACACTCTTCTGAGTAGAGGAGTCAGCATGGAGAGGGGGGACCTGTATGTCACTGAAGTGCCCCTGGGGTGATAGGCAGGTAAAAATCCAAATGAAGAAGAACCTGGTCATTCCACAGAATTAAGGCAGTGATCACAGAGCCTGGCTACATATTAAAATCACTGGGAGCTTTAAAAAACAATACTGATGCCAGCTGGGTGCATTGGCTCGTGCCTGTAATCCTAGCACTTTGGGAGGCCGAGGCAGGAGAATAGCTTGAGGCCAGAAGCTCAAGACCAGCCTGGGCAACATAACAAGACCTCATCTCACAGAAAAAAAACAATCAAAAAATTAGCCTGGTATGGTGGCATACCTGTGGTCCCAGCCACTCAGGAGGCGGAAAAGGGAGGATCCCTTCAGCCCAGGCAGTGATCACAGAGTTTGAAGCTGAAGTGAGCTGTGATCATGCCACTGCACCCCAGTCTGGACAACAGAGTAAGACTCTGACTCAATAAAATAAATAAAAGTTCACTTAAAAAAAATACTGATGCCTGGGCCTCATCCTAGACTGTCTGAATGACAATCTGGAGAGGTGGAGCCTGGCATCAGTATTTTTGGAAAGCTCCCAAGCATTTCTTTTTTTGTTTGTTTGTTTGTTTGAGTTGGAGTCTCACTCCATGGCCCAGGCTGAAGTACAGTGGCACGCTCACAGCCACCCCAGTATCGACCTACTGGGATCAGGCAATCCTTCCACCTCAGCCTTTCAAGTAGCTAGAACTACAGGTGCATGCTACCACACCCGGCTAATTTTTTTATTTATTGTAGAGATGAGATCTCGCCAAGTTGCCCAGGCTGGTCTCGAGCCCATGGGCTCAGGCAATCTTCTCACCTCTGCCTCCCAAAGTGCTGGGATGACAGGCTTGAGCCACCACGCCCGGGTGCTCCCAAGCATTTCTAAGAACCACGTGGTCAGGTAGGTCAGCTACCTTGGTTAAGTCAACAGGCTGAGAGTTACAGGTACCCTCCGTGCAGAAAGAGGAAGTCCATATATGGGCCACACAGGAGGCCATGCTTTTGAAATAGAAGAAGATGGGACATGATCCAAGAGTGAAGATGCCCACCATGGTGGTCATAAGAGCTGGGTAGGTCTAGAAGTTAACCTGGAACGAATGAAGTTGAACCTCTCAAAGCTGGTCTAGCTTTAGTAAACTGCCTAGTGTGTGTGCTTCAGGCAGACAAAGCAAAGGAGAGACAAATGGGTCAGCAGCAAATGCAGGACTTTAATTTCACTCTATTAATATGTATTAGTGGCTGTTAAAGGCAACACAGATGGCCAAGGGCATAGAGGCCAGGAGAGCAGGGAGACATCTGGAAGGCAGTCTGGAGCCCAAAGACAGAAGCTTTGGGGACACTTAGCAGCTGCCTTCTTCACCAGGTGTCCAGTGACCATGGCACAACCTGAGGGCAGGGAGAGCTACAGAACCAAAGGGCATCCCAGTAGAGGGGACAGGCTGGGACCCACAGTCCAATAAAAGGCCAAAAATCTGGCTCTGGAAAGGACAGATCTGCTCTGGTCAGGGACCTGGGTAGTCTGATCTGGCATGCAGCTGGCTGAGGCATTGCCAAAAGGAAGGATCCCGTGCATGTAGACCAAGAAAGCTAGGCTCCACTGCTCAATCTCTACTTACCTGAGCATAATTTCTAGAATTTCATATCCCCCTCTGTTCAAATTTTGTTTGGTTTGTTTCCTTTTGAAACATTCAGATGTGATACAATCTGAACCAGAGCAAATAAGTCTTCCCAGCTCAGCCAGGAGAACACCCCTGGGACCTGGACTAGAGGTAGATCTGACTGATAGAAAATGGAGCAGAGGCCAGGCATGGGAACTCACTCTTGTAAACCCAGCACTTTGGGAGGCTGAGACGGGAGGATCACTTGAGCCCAGGAGTTCGAGACCAGCCCTGGGCAACATAGTGAGACCCCATCTCTTTTTAAAAAATATTTATTTAAAAAAAAAAAAAAAAAAAAAAAA